AAAAGCAGCACCTCATATGTTTACTGCAATTGTTCGCCAATTATTTGATTTTTGGGGCCATTTAAGGTTTTGAACCAAGCAGTTCAGCACTGACACCTTGGACAGTTCTTTGTTGCTTGCCTTTGTTAAATGGCCATAAGGTAATGTTGCTGAGTTGCATTAAAACATATATTGTCTTGTTTTAAAAATTATATCTAGGGTAAGGTTTAAAATGTAATTTCTCATTGTTACATTGAGTTTGAATATCTGAGTTGTATTGAAAAATCTTTTGTAATTTAAAATTTTTGGTGGAAGAATAATATTGACAGTAAATGCCAAAATAATATATTTTTCATTTTTGAGTATAATTTTATATATTGCCTTTTTTGTCCTAATAAGAAAACAGTCATTGAAAATGCTGATATTTTTTCTCCTTGTGCCAGGCTACTTTTGATTTTAACTAAGTGATGTTGGTGACCATAACAGTAAATACTCTTCAATGGCAGATTTTATGTTTGTCTAATACTCTTCCACTTGTCAGCTTTATAAATAAAAAAATATTGTTAAGGAAAGACGGTGCTTTTTTATTATCTTTAAGAAGACAAAACAGCTTATACAAACATACCCAAGTCTTTGCTCCTCTACATTAAATATATTAAGTTGGGCTTAACAGCCAAATGGTAAAGAAAAACAAACAAGAATGTGCAGGATGTGATAGCGACATTCGTGTAGTTGTAAAAAGCATGACAATATAGTAAGTAATCCAAAGTATTCAGAATACGTTACTCACATTGAGTAACTTAATGGAATACGTTACAAAATACATTTTGGGGCATGTAATCTGTAATCTGTAGTGGAATACATTATAAAAGTGACCTTCCCAACACTGCCTCCGATCAATAAAAGGCCTGCTGCGACCCCACAATGAGGGACAATCCAGACTGGAGTCCCCGGTGCCTGTTTCACAGTGCTTTCAGCATCTTCTCCCTGACTCGACAGCATCAGGCTGTAATTTCTTGAAGCAGGTGAGCTGCTCATTTTCATCTATTCAGCTTTAGAATAAAGTCACACGGTGAGCGTCTTACCTGAGATCGGTCTCCTGATGTCCAAGGCCAGTGTCAGAGGAAGGCTGTGCATGAGTTCACAAATGTCCTGGTAGCTGGAGGAGCAAACTAGTTTATCTCCAATCTTGACGATCTCATCTCCAGGACGCAGCCTGCCCGCAGACTCCTGGGACCACAGTTAGAGAAACAAGCTCAGCCTTTACATGGAATATTTTTAATATCTTAAATCGTTTGATCCTTTAAAGAATCACCAGAAAATTCAAATATTCTTGTTCATATTCAGTGTGCATAGAAAATTTTGCATATATATTTGAATTTGTAGCATCTTTGCTACAGCCATCATTTTTTTGCTTTGCAGTTTATTGCCAAAAACTGTGTTGTTGAATTTATTTTGTTTTTTGGGGGAACCCCCCACCCCCATCCCACTGGTGTAGGGTTGAAAGCAATCCCACATACCCTTTCTGCTGCACCTCCAGGCTCCACCCCAGCGATCACCAGCTTCAGTGGTGATGACATAATCTCCAGTTCAAGCCCAAATGAATTCCCGTCGTTCCTTCTTAGGATCACCGTGTTAATGGGACAAATCCCTGCAAACTCACTGGCATCTTCCTTCTCATATAGCTGACTGGGGATCATGTCGGCAGCCACCGTGGGGTTTGTTCCTGTGCTGTGGGATGGGAGCTGGAATGGGGCCAAGGCCAGGGTGGGTTCATCCGTTTGGGATGTTTGCTGCTGGGGTAGGTTTGGTGCTTCAGTGCTCATAATGACCCTGTTCACTGCTTCAAGCTTGGGGGACTGCTTTGACTCCAACTGTCCGTGACTTTGATTTGGACAGTCCTCACTGCTGGTGGTCATATCAGTGAGCACAGAGCTGCTCGACACCCCTGCTGTGTGATCTAAAGGCTGGTGGATGAACATGAAGGTTAACTCACAACCAGGTGACTCTGACTTATTGGGAAAACCATCCTTACTTTGAGTGGAACTGTCACAGAGTGCTGTGGGTATATCTCTGCCTCCACTCTGCAAATCTCCACCATCTTCACCGTCTAACACCGAGCTGCTAAATACACCTGCTGAATCACTCTGTGACACGTCACTGCAGGTAAAGGCTTCAGATTTCGTGGGTCTGTGGAAGGGCTCAATTTTTCTGCTGCTGGCTGAATTTTCTCCCTCGCTGAGGTCATCCTCGAAGCACTTCACCTGGCAGAGAAGTGGGCTGCGTGCTGTGGGGGGGCTGGACCAAGTAATGGGCTGGCACACGGCCTCCACATGGTGACTGAGAGGTGCAGAGGTTTGGTCTTGGATGTTGTTGTACACACGGCCGTCTTCCACTTCTGTCAGAGATGGGCTGAATCCTGAAAATAAAGATGAACTTACAGCTAATTTTTACAAAACTGGATGCTGTGTAATTGTTTAAAGAGAGATGATAAATGCTTGGTCTCTAAAAAAATCTCATAAATGGTCGGTGGCATGTGTGGGGGCAGGGCTTGAGGCTCTTTCCTCTTGGATGCCCCGAGTGCCCTTTTCTTCTGGCTTTTTTGTTTTTTAATGTGTGTGTGTGTGTGTGTGGAGTTGTGGCCGCTCCCCTCAACAGTAAAGTTTAACGATTAATCACAATTTTGCTAAATAAAAGGATCTGGCTCGCATCAGTCACATGATGACCTTTAACCAATGCTCACCCTTGAAAGCAGAGTGCGCTGGTTACGAGCTGGGAACCAGTTTGCAAATACCATGCACATTTTCTGCCACCTGGGTGGTGCGGAGCTGTAAACAAATTAACTGGGAGACACAGAGTGATGCAACAAAAACCAGTAAGCAGGTGTACAGCGTACACTGTAGTATGTAGCACACAGGAGTATTAGCTCATTATGGACACGCTGGTCAGTTGCCTTTTGGCAACTGATGAAATGAGCGTGCTGTGTGTGCAACAGCTCGGCAAACATTACCTGTCCTTTTATTACCTGCACAGGTGTGCAGATCACAGCTGCTAGCTGACTGGCTAAGGCTCTCAGGGATCTGTAGCTCTGTGTCTCAGGGAACATATTTAGTTTTAAAGTAAGTTACAGGGCTTTCCCTGACTTTGTGGAGGACTTATATTTCACTAATATACATATTCACATACAGTCAGGTCCATAAATATTGGGACATTGACACAACATTTTTGGCTCTATACACCACCACAATAGATTCCAAGTGAAACGAACAAGATGTGCTTTAACTGGAGACTGTCAGCTTTTATTTGAAGGTATTTACATCCAAATCAGGTGAAAGGTGTAGGAATTACAACAGTTTGCATATGTGCCTCCCACTTGTTAAGGGACCAAAAGTAATGGGACAATTGGCTTCTTAGCTGTTCCATGGCCAGGTGTGTGTTATTCCCTCATTGTCCCAATTACAATGAGCAGATAAAAGGTCCAGAGTTCATTTGATACAATCCAGCACATTTTTATGTTTGTTGCAGATCAAATAGAGTTAGAAGGTAGGATCCCATTGTTCCTGTCTAGTTCCTAGTGGATATTATCATTTTATTATTAGCCTTAGCTTCTAGCCACTGTATTAATGGCAACAGCCACAGGTAATGTGATCACTGGTAACTCCTAATAGTTATGTTAACCTTTTAATACTTCAGTCGTGTTGTTTAGAGGTCAGTAAAGTTCTCATTTCATCAACTACTGTTCACATGTCAAGCGTGGTGGAAGCAAACTTTAAAGTTAAATCTGTGAAATATTCCTAAAACGTCTTCCTGGGATTTAATCAGTAACATTTTACCATGTGGTTTTGATGAGCAGTCAGCCTTGGAGGTAATGCAGCTCATCTGGTGGAGGACATTGTCACTATCTGAGCCCATCAACATGGATTCAGATGGGAATGAGTGGCTGGAAAGTTCCTGCAGGAAGTACTGAGACAGCTCTGCCTCTGAACTCAGGGAGCCCTGTTTAAGAAACAACCAAATTGGACAGAAGTTGAAATGAAAGGAAGTTTAAAACTATTAAAATACATTTAACTCATTAACTGGGATGAAAGGGTGTATACTATAACTGTAAGATTTACTTTGTTACACTGATTAGCTGTTTATTTAAAACCCCAAGAAAGTTGATGAAACAAGAACCAACTACACAGCAAAATCTCCAGTGTTAAATTAACACTAGAGAGTGTCTATATGGGTCCACAC